TACGTCCTGACATATTTCCTGCCTATGTACTTCCCACCCACATGTGATCATATATATCCAGTACTGATGGGTCAGACTTGTTTAGGGGAGTGAAAACATGTGGCTTGTTATCTCTAGTAAAAAATAGCCTCCAGTGTTTCAGGAACTGTCTGTCCTTGGGCAAGGGGCTTACAGATCAGAGGCATTTTTGTTTCATGGATCTCTAAGACATAGTAATTAAAACTTAAAATGTAACTTTGGCTCTCACAGCCTCTCAAGTTTGTACCCTGGACAAAGAGAACTGATAAGTGCTGCTATGAACACATGTATCTTGGAAGAGAAAAGCAAGCCTTGCTCCCCAAAGATACGAAAGTCGGCCTGTGTCCTTGGTTTGCGGATGTTTCTCTGAAATCTTGCTCTTCTGCCCATGCTGTCTTCCTTACTTTTGGGCTTTAATCTAACTCTCCTTATGTTCTTACAATACTTATAATTGCTCTCCCACCCTTAGGCCTGACCATGATCCCCGCACTCACGAGGCCGTCTCTGACAAAAGCTAATTTCTGAGCGGCAATTTCCACTCTGATTTCTAACAGGCAGTACTGATAGAAGAGGTTAATTCAAATTTAGTGCTTTCAAGATGAGAGACGAGAGCTAAGAAAAGATTTGAAATTTGAGAGTCTGTATTTATTCTGCCAAATTTTGACATTCTACATAAAATCATCTGAAGCTTAACAGCTGTGTGCATACTACGTCATGAACTTAGACCATCCTGCTATAGAAACTGTGGGTGTCCATTGATAATATATAATGTGAAAAGAACCTGTGATTTTGAATTTTTTTATTATGATTATTTGTGTGTGTGTGTGTGTGTGTGTGTGTGTTTATGCACAAGTGCAAAGGCAGAGAACGAGTTCTTCCCTTCCACCATGGTTCCTAGTGCTAAAGGCTTGGCACTAAGTGACTTTACCCACTGGGCATCTCCATCCAGAGGTTGTGACTTGGTGAGGAAGGGTGGGTGAAGCAGAGATAACATTCCCTTCTTAGATCCTCTTTAGTGTCCCTGTGCTTCTGCAGTCAGCACTCTGAAGCTCTGAATGCTACCTGACAACAGCTCACACCATAGTCACACCCTAGTCAGTCATGAGTCTGGCAGACAAACCACTTAGACCATTGCCCTATTAAAAGAGGCAATCCAGCCAGGCCATGGTAACACACCTTTAATCCCACTACTCAGGAGGCAGAGTTTGAGGCCAGCTTGGTTTACAGAGCGAGTTACAGGACAGCCAGGGCTACATAGAGCTGAATTGTCGATGGCAGTATAATCATGTGGGCGCCCCTGCACATTCTTGCTGAATGTATGAAGAATGCAAGGTGCTATGTGTTCTTAGGAGAGCCTTTCCGAGAAGGATACAGTAACACATCCTTGATGTGATGGTCAGGGACTCTAACCCTATGACATTCTTAAGTCCCCAGTAAACTCTTTCTTTTCTAAGTTGCCTTGGTCATGATGTTGCTTCACAGCAATAGAAGAGTAACTAAGAGCATGTGTGTGAAGGCCATAGGTCAGCTTTGGGTGTCTTCTTCAATTCTCTCCATCTTAATAATTTACTAAATCCAATTAGTGTTTTATATGCATGCACGGGTGTGTTTCCATCTGCTGAATCATAAGAAATCTAGAGGTCACACCATAAAAAAAACAAAAGATTTTTTTTTTTTTTTCCTCAGTAGCAATCAGCTACTAATAGCTACCTCAATAAGGGGCCTGGAGAGAACTCCCCTGCCCCTGATTTATACTGGCAATTTTGTTGGCTTGACATAGCATACTTAACCAGAGCAGATGTCAGTCCCCAAGTACCACCTCCAGAAGACAGCATTTCACAACACTCATCCCCATCTTCCTGCTTACATTATTTCCTAACACTTCTTGACTGACAGCCCCAGAGCCTTGACAGGGGTAGTGGCAGAGAGTAGATAAAGATATCTATTTATGGCTGAACACTCTATAAACTCCGTGGCTGCAGGGCATAGATACCAATTCCAAATCTACTGGGAAACTACCTGCTTGCTCTCTAGCTTTCATAGTGCCAGAAGGTACAATGCAGTCTATTGGGGGAGAAAAGACATCGATAGTCTTATCCACTGCTGGAGTGCACATAAGGTAATACCAGGAGAGTTGTGTGTATTGGTGCAACAGTCCCACAACTATTATGGGGCATCTAACAGCTTTCTGACTGTATTTGAAGCTTGTTCCTCAGAAGAGAATATCATGCTTGGTACTATATTCCTGGTCCAAAGAGCATGGATGGGGAAATCATAGGCTCTAAGATAGAACTTGCTACTGTTATTTTTCTAGATGGCTAGGTTCTCAAATAAACACACACACTGACACTGACACACACACACACACATTTTTTTTTTTTTTTTTTTATTTTTTTTTTATTTATTTTATTTTTTTTTTTTGAGACAGGGCCTGCAAGTCTCAGGGATTTTACGTTCACCCCTGCAGCTTTGGAGTCACAGATACAGGTAGCTAGCTTATTTTGTTTATAATGTGGGATCTGGAGATTGAATTTAGGCCCTTTATATATCAGCACTTTTCCAATTCAGATATTCTCCCCGGCCCTTTCCATCTTTTACAGTTGACTTATTTTCACCTATTCTGAAAAATGTTGAAGTTGCTCTATGTTGTTTAATATCAAATTTTAGGCTATTTCTTTATGTAAAAATAAAGAAGCATATTCATCTTGTTAGTATGCAAATTTCATTGTAACTTTATAATTTGTAAAATTATACAGGCATGAAAGAATTGTGCTAAAACACATTTAAGATTTATCAGAAAAAGTACCTGTTTCATACACCTATACAACTGGATCAAACAAGTTTTCTCAGACAAGGAGAGGGCATGAGTGGAAAACGTTTTAATAAGCCCTGTTCTAAAGAACAGCCTAAGACCCTTAAATGATCACCATAGTGGGCAATGTGTCTTATCGAAGAAATATACTGGTTAGTGAAACTAAATGGTTGGAAACCGTGATTAGTTGGGAGATCTGTGACTAGTTGTGTTAAACTTGCTGCTCTTTAAAACTAGCTTCATACTGGTTCAAATATTTTCAGTTACAACTATTGAAAAAGAATACTATTAAAACAGAAAACTAAATATTTTATTAAAGCTCCCTTAAAATCTAGGGCTTACAGGAAGAAACATAAAATGTTTTAAAGGTCTCCAAGTCTTCTGTATAAAATTTTGAGGCTTACCGGAAGATATGCCTTTTTTTGTGTTTCCCAGTTGTTAACATTGTTTATCACAATCAGAAACAACATTGGTACATTATCAGGATTTCAAACGTTATAGTTATTACTGAAAGACCTAAAAAGTAATGTTAATGATGGACTAACCTAGAAACCAATATCTGTTCCTTGGAATTTGCTAGCTTCCTCTCACAAGGCCCTGAGATAAGAATTCACACTGCCCCTCCTTTCCTGTGAGTCAACAGGTGGTAAATAGGGTCAAGAGATAGCTGTAACTCTGGTTTGCCCAGACAAGATTAATTAGCACACCTGAGGCCCTAAGTTCTGCTGACCCTAATAGCAGACCATCCGGCCTCCAAGGGTCACATACTCAATGGACAGAGGGTCCCACCCCCTCCCTAAGCTTGTGGGGTTGCCTTTAAAAACACCTGGGCCCAGGGGAGGGGGCTTCTCCCTAGCCTGCGTGCTGGAGGAGCCCGTTTGCACAAACGTTTCCTGTTCATTAAAGCCTCTTGCGTTTTGCAGCAACTGGACTGGACATTGAGTTCTTGGGGTATCGACCGAACCTGGAAGACTCCTCATTCTGAGGGTCTTACATTACGTTGTCATGAATTTTACCAGTAATTCCCCTTTTTTTCTGCTTTAGAATCTCATATTATATTACTATGTTTCCTCTGGTCTGTTGTTTCTCATCCCTTCCTGATTTATCATGATCCTGACAGCTTTCAGCAATATTGGCCAAGTATCATGTCGAGTATCCTTTAGATTCAGCTTATTTGATGTTTTAACCAGAAGTCTGGGTTTTGGTGGACAGAGCCCTTTTCATGTCATGTAATGTTAACAACTACCTGGCCTTTTAAATATTATTTGGCGTCTTTCTTTACTATCATCTTTAGTTTCCCTTCCCGTATTCTTAATAACCAGAGCGAGTACCATAACAAGACCCCCTCTTTCGTTCTGTCCCTGCCTGGACCGGGAGTGTTTAAGGCCTTGTATGCAAGGACGCGTGACAATGGGTGGCTTATTCCACAGCAATTGCCACCCTGGCCTCACAGACCTGACAGCACTGGCTGACAATTCACTGAGTTTGGGAGGGCATTTTCTGCGGTAACCCCTGGTCAGAGTCACATTGCCGAGTCCCCTGCCTGAGCCTCCTGAGCGGCAGCGGGGTACAGGACGTGGGGCAGAAATCAGCCTCCCTCTCGCAAAGCTGGAGGCCGAGGAGCAGGCCTGCAGGGGTAGGGATGGGGGCTGCAGGGTGGGGGAGGCTGCTCCACTTCCCTCCTTTCCGGACTACGTGCGAGCTGGCAGACACCAAGCCCCGCCCCAGCGACTTCTGCTTCCCTAGGGGGGATAAAGGGCTTGACTCCACCCGGTGCTACGTGCCTAGCTCAGCACGCATCATGGCCGCCGCCAAAGAGCAGAAGCGAAGACTTCCACCCTCCCCGCCCATCGCCTTCCCTGCGCACGCGTGCCAGGGCCTCCGGGGCTCCGCTCCAAAGGGGGCGGGCCCATGGGGGGGGGTCAGGAACTGGCCAATCAGATGGCGGGGCTGCGTAGCAGGCCTTCCCTCCCCGGCCGCCTGCGCTCCGGCTTCCGGGCTGCAGGTGTCTGTGTTTGGGTACGTGAGGCCGCCGCAGGGCTGGAAAACCTCGCCTTGGAGAAATAAACCGTGGGGCGCTCCCGGGCTAGGGAGCGGCGGGGAGGATCCGTCCTGCTAGTCCCGGAGAGCTTTAAATTCTCCCACACTTGGCAGTCCTGCGCACTCTTACCTGCCAGTGTGCAGCCAGTGTATCCTCTCTGCACTCCCGGGGACTCTTGTCATCAGCTTTAAGTGGGCGATGCTGTTGCTTAATTGCAACCTGGAGGTGAGGTTCCCGCTCTTTAAGTCCTGAACAGGCTAAATCTTCCAAGAGGTCCGTTTTAGGAGCTCTAGCGAGGGTGACAGTGACTGACCGCTGGGTTACCAAATCAAACCTTGTCAGATTTTTGTTTTCTTTTTTCGTAGCGGGATTGGATTTTCAGCTCAGAGAGGACTCAAGCAGGACAGGAAAGTGACAATCTGTTTTCTTCCTCCAGGACGGTGGCCTCAAGAATTTGCTGGAAACAGGAGCATCAGTCAATGCACCCCCGGACCCCCATGAGCAGTCTCCTGTTCACCTAGCTGCTGGTGGTGGCCTTGCTTGCTTTCTTCTCTGGCAGCTGCAAACAGGCGCTGACCTCAACCAACAGGTAACTAGGTAACCCATTGTTGCTATGTACATCCCTCCTCTCCACCCAGTGTCACCACATAGCTGCCAGTTTCAGTTAGTATAAACATGCATATAAGAATTCCCAGTATGTGTGTGTGCGTGCACACACACACATATATGTATGTCAAGATGGTGACTTGAAATACTTTTATTATCCACATTAATAAAGCAAAAACAAGCCATGAGGTCAATTTTAATAATTTAATCAAATTTCTTTCAGTATGTGATTATATATAAGTAATGGTTGATGTGCTATTTTATTTTTGCTTTCGTACCTATTTCACAATCTAGTGTGTATTTTTATTCTTATGGCATAGCTCAATTCAGTCTAGCCACATTTCAAATGCTCTTTAGCAGTAGGTGACTTCTGACCATCACACTATATAGTATATGTCTACAGTAGTTTTACAAGTACTTGTTATTTGTCCAAGTCTCAGTTGACCAGGAAATAAAATGCGGGAGACATGCCCAGCATCAGTTCTTCCAGTAAAGTGTGATAAGGTTTTTAATTGTAAACTTCTGTCTTTGGTAGAACTATAATTTGCTGGTATTCCCTTAAATTTTAATGTGTGCAAAAGTGGCAGTGTGTTTTTATTACTGGGAACTTTGTATTGGCACAAGAGAACTTTATCGAAAACATAATTGTTACAAGGCAGTTTTCATTGGTTTCCTCAAATAGCTAATATTAGATTGCCTATTGGCCTTTGCAGAGTGATGGGGAGACACTAAATGTGCTATCTTGTCCTTAAAGGATGCTTTGGGAGAAACTCCACTCCACAAGGCAGCAAAAGTTGGAAGCCTGGAATGCCTTAGCCTCCTTGTGGCCAGTGATGTGCAGATTGAGTGAGTATAAAATCAGTGGCTCCAGGCTTTGTTTTCTTGAATTAATCATACTCCTAAAGCCTAATTATACATGATCTTAAAAATAATGCTGTGCTAATTGGTAATTTTATGTTATCCTTTCAGTCGTGTTATCTAATAATATCATGTGTAGTAAGTAGACATAGATCCTGAACATTCAGAACTGTAAGTCTTCATCACAGCAGGTTCCACAACAGTTTTAGCTTAGGAAGATCCTATAGAAACTCTCATTGACTCTATTTGAGTACTCAATGTAGAGAACACTGACACCAAATGCTCTTGTAGTCATTCAAATTCCTTCAAAACTGAAATATAATAATATATAATAATGGAATAAAAATAAAATGGAATGCCCATGGTGTGGGGAATGTGCTAGTCACTTTGTGTGTCTGTGTGGTGTTTGTATACACGTGTGGACTTTTATTCTGTACCCAGGGTTGATATGTGCTAAATTTCCATTGTTAGAAAACTATTAAATAATAATTTTCACTTCTCAACTTTTGTCTAATTTCAGCTTATGTAATAAGAATGGGCAAACAGCTGAAGATCTGGCTTGGTCATATGGATTTCCAGAATGCGCCAGGTATCTAACAATGATTAAATGTATGCAGACAACAGAGTCATCAAGTGGTCCCTGTGCTCCACTACTCAGACAGAAGCGAAGTTTAACAAGTGTGGAGGACAGAGCCCTGAAGAGGAAGTGTTGGTAAGTGCCGCCCTGCGGCTGTGATCTTCCTCCTCTGTGGGTTTCTCTTCTGGCGTAGAGTTTGTTGTTGTACCTAATACTAGCAGCATTCTCATGGAACATCCAGTAGACTTTTTGTTTCCTTAAAGTTTTACCCTTGGTCATAGTTAACACTTAGTAGCTAGAGCTCAAAATTTGGGGAGAGACCTCCCCTTTAACAGTTATATTTTTAAGATTGTGTCTGTGAGTATATGCACTCAAGGGCCTATGTACGTTCAGTGGTGCATGTGGAGGTCAGGGGAAGGCATGGTATCCCTTGGAGCTGGGAGTACAGGCCAGGCAGGCATTTGTAGTATTGTCTGGCTTGTTGCTTGGGTGCTGGGGTTCAAGATTACTCTTACCCCTGAGCCATTTTTCCAGTCCCCTTAAAAATGTTTTTAATGTCAACATGTTTTTTTCCCTTCAAACAGATGATGCCTTGTAGGCAAGAAGAGACTTGAGGAAGGGCTTCGCTTCCGACAGATCTACGAGCCTTGGCTGTCTGTGGCTTGCCATATACCTAAACTCCTGAGGAGGAAAACTTTCTTCTAAATGAAGAGAACATTCATCAGTACATGTATTTACATGACTATATTTTTTAGCTGTGCATGTTTTGTTATTTAACTTATTAAAAGAATATTCGAGGGATAAAAATTTCTGTGAATTCTTTACTACTTTTGAAAAAATTAGATCACAACCAAGATTTAATTTTAAAATTATGCTTGCTTTTATTTACATTAGAACAGCTCTTTTAGATCTGTACTCTTGACTCCAAGATAATTCAAAAAGCATTTAGACAGCATTTGGTCGCTGAGGAAGGCATAAGTTGTAGTATGCATCCTTGTTCCAGAAGTCTGGGCTCTTCCATCCACACCAACCCTAGATTCAGAAGGAAGGAAAACCTTTTATAACTCAGGATTTCATGATGGAAACTACTCCTCTCAGCAGGACCCCAACATAAGACTCAGACACCAATCCAATTCAAGTATTTTCTAAGTGAAGAAAAGTAACTTTTGTCAACTTGATGCAAGCTGCCATCCACTGGGAAGATGAACCCAATTGGAAAAATGCCTCTATCAGGGGGGAATTGCCTTATTGATGATTGATGTGGGAGGGCCCTGGGCAGGTGGTCCTGAATCATACCAAAAAAAAAAAAAAAAAAAAAATCAAGCTGAGCAAGCCAGTGAATGGCTTCCACCGCCTTCAGCTCTTGCCCTGACTTCTGGCTTGTAAGATGAAATAAACCCTTTCCTCACTAAGTTGCTTTTGATTATGGTGGTTATCACAGCAACAGAAAGTAAACTAAGACATCCTTTCTACATAGATTTTTAAACAGAACAAAACAAATCTAAAATACTTAACTTTAGAAGTCATCAAAAAACAAGTCACTTCCTTTTAGCAATTGTTAGTCCAGACATTATGCTTCATTGGTTCTAAGATATAGGCCATCAGTAGCTGTAATAGCTCTATTGGCAAACTGTTTTACTTAGTCTATAAGAGTATGCATATGTGCCTTTCAGTTTAACCCCTTCCTCCAGCAAAGAATAATTTTTAGTGGTTTAATTATAGAAGTTTTATCAAATTTCTTCTAGGTTCACTCATTTTCTCTTACACAGTCAGACCTAGAAGCCAGTTTTTTTTTTTTTTTTTTTTTTTTTTTTTAAGAGACAGATTAACAACAGGCAGAGCATATGCCTAAACGACATGGTTCTGGAGGCTGTACTTCCGGATGACCAGCCTGGGAGGTCAAATGGAAACTCACAGGAGAAGTCATGGCTAATCTTGGTTGTCAACTTGACATACCTGGGAAGAGAGGAGGTGAACTAAGAAATTCTGAGGAACTGCCTCAGTGAGTTGGCCTGAGGGCATGAGTGGAGGCATTTTTATTGCTCACTGGAGGAGGCGGGCCTTGTTCCCTGTGGGTGGTGCCACCCTATAAGTGAGTGGTTCTGGGCTGTGTAAGATAGCAAGGGGAGTCCTCAGAAATGAGGTCTGTGCTTTAGGTCCCGCCTCCCTCCCGCTATGCCTGAGCCCTCAGTGGCAGCTAGTGATTAGAATGTGCAAGCCAAATAAACCCTTTCCTCTCCCGTGGATCTCATTTTATCACAGCAACAGAAACCAAACCAAACGAGGATGGTGAAAAGAGCGGAGGCAGAGCGCCTCCTTTACAGCTCCATGATCTATGGGAGTCAAGGACAGTGGAATCCACCTGTGGCTTGGCTGTGCCTGGGCTTCAGTTTCCTGTATGCTTCAGAGGGTTAAAGGGCTTTCTGCTGTTAAATCATTCTACAAAAAAAAAAAACGTAACTGACAACGTTCTCAGGGAAAGTAATAAGGGATGGCAGCTCCCTTTATTTCACTACCTCAGGATAATTCCATAGGAGAAAGCCCATTAATAGCCAGAAAGAAGCATGCACATTTATTACCTATATCACACCCATGATGAAAATGACTAAGGTTCCCACCTGCTTTTAAGATAAAATCTAAATCCTAGCTCAGCTTTTCTGCCTGTCTGCCTTGACCCTCCTCACTGCGCTAAAGCACATGTAGCTCATGCAGTTTGGGGAACAGGCTATGCTTTCCCTTCCCTTCATCTAAGGAGTCCTTTTACAGCCTCCTAAACCTAAACCTTCAGGCTTCTTGTCTGAGAATCCTTTTGGATGGTCCCCTGTCCCTTTCTAGAAGACAGAGCCCTAGAGCCCTTCAGAGATGCTTAAGACTATGGCTGACATTGATTAGATACTCACGAATCAATACTTTGTTACTGAAAGAGAAAATGTTGCTATTATGGGGTTTTTTTTGGGGGGGGGGCATGGTTTCTCTGTATTGTTTTGGAGCCTGTCCTAGAACTAGCTCTGTAGACCAGGCTGGCCTCAAACTCACAGAGATCCCCCTGAACTGCCTCCTGCTATTATCTTTTTAAAAAATTACTTTCATTTACTTTGTGTTTGTGGTGATCAGAGGACAATTTGGCAGGAGTTAGTTCTTGTCTACCATGTAGAATCTAGGGATCAAACAAAGGTCCTCAGGTTTGGTAGAAAGTGTTTTTAATTTGCTTAATCATCTTACCAGCCTTTCATATGAGAATTAGCTGCCATAAATCAATTCAGATTTATGTCCCATGTAGTCTGTGCCAACAAATACTTCTAAATTTGTCTTAACTTCCAACCTTTATAGAATGATTATGTTATATGTACAGACATGAGAAGTAGTCACATCTTCATAATGACTGGCATTTTATTTTTTATATATTGATTCACTGATTCTAAAATTATTAAGGGTATATGTATATCTGTACTCGTGGTGTTGATCCCCTGGAGCTGGAGTTACATATGGTTGTGGGCCATATAAAATGTATGCTGGGAACTGAACTTGGGTCCTTTGCAAGAAAGGCTAGAGCTCTTAATTGCTCAAGTCTTCTCTTCAATGCTGAATTTAAGTTTATTCTGCTATCCTATTTTTAAGACAGTGATGAGGTAATACAATTGTATGTGCTACAAAATCCACAAAGGAAATATTTGATTCTATTATGTTTAGTAAATAGCAAAGCTTTTAAAAACGTTTTGTCTTTTGTGATTCCTGTTGTCTTTCCTACATGGAATATAATTACACAACAGACTTAGAAACACTGCTGTGAGGACAACTGCTTTTGTCTTATTATCTTTGTTAATGCCAGGCAGCAAATCTTTCATCTCTGGCTTGTTGCCTTGTGTCTTATATTTATGTGATATGGATATTTACCTTTTCCAAGATAACTTGCAGATCTTCAGCCCCTGTATAATGTGGGTCTAGAATTAGAAATTTTATCTGGCCTGTAGTTTCATTCCATGCGACTCCTAGTATTGTGTGAGCCAATACTCCTCCCCCTAGGGGGGAAAAAGAAATATATAATGGCATAAATTAATTTCAACTGTTTATTCAGTAAAAATAAAAATAACTATTGTTTTGCCTATTAATTGACTTATGACAGCATTAGAACAGTGTCTAATATTGTAAAAGATCATGATGGCAAATATACTTGAAAGGATAAGATTACATATTTAAAAACTACCATGTTACATATGGAAATAGATAAGAATCACTATGATCATATCTATAATTATATAAAACTTATTTTCCATTGCTATATCCATAAAATTCCCTAAAATCAACTGAGAAGGGCTGCCAAGGGGCCAAACTCCTCCCAGTGCAGTACTGATTGTTGGGAACCAGCAGTCTGCTGACCCCGCCCCCAACGATGGGCGGGATGCTCATAGTCCTGTCACAGCTGCATCAGGCTTTACCTGGCTGCTCAAGCTTTACCTGGCTGTGCAGGGGACTTAGTTAGCATGCACAAGCCCCCCTTTTAAAGCAAGCACTCCACCCCCCTCCCCTGCTTTCAGTTGGCCACCAGCTACCCCCCTTTCTCTCCTCTCTCTCAATAAACTCCATGTGGGCGCTGAGTCTCATGTTTGTGTTTCATAGGCAATAGCTGCAGCAAAAGAACAACACTGATCACTGAGATACCTCTCCTAGTGATGCTCTTGCATCTGCTAAGCATCTCTGGCCCATCTAGGCTCTCTGGTACTGACAGCTACCTACCTCCATTTCTTACATACTAGTGTCTTTCATCTTCTGCTAATTTTTCAGAGAATCATGTATCTTTAGCTCAGTCAATCAAATTACATAGAAAACTCACCAAAGGTAAGCAGGCTGCTGTGTCACAAACCAGCTAAGTTAGTGACAGAGTCATGACTTATGATGCTTAGTCAAGTGGCTATCACTTTTAAAAATATTCCTCATGGCTCTTTTTAAATGGTCAAACAGTTATCATTTTCTTTTTAGCATTTATTCTTAGTTGCTAAATCTTTTTTGTAACTCCTCTTCCCTTTGGAAATTAAAATTCAGTGTGTAAGTTTACTCTAAAATGTTTACATTTTTATTTTATGTGTATGGGTGTTTTGCCTGCATCCATGTCTGTGGGCCAAATGATGCCCTGAAGAGGCA